ATTGTGGCAACTCATACATAAATAACAAAGAATTTTTTTTCTGCTAGGTGTTTGATTTGAAGGGTTCACTTAGGAATCGAAATGTAAAAACTGACACTGGAAAAGAGAGTTGTGACGTGGTCCTGCTGGATGAAAACCTCTTGAAGATGGTTCRAGACAACCCTTTGTATATTCGTTCTCATTCCAAAGCTGTTCTGAKAACTTCCATCCATAGTGACTCCCACTTCCTTTCTAGCCACCTCATTATAGATTATTCTTTGCTGGTTGGGCGAGATGATACTAGCAATGAGCTGGTAGTTGGAATTATAGGTAAGTTAATAGATATATRCTACTTATAGCTCATGATTGAAAGAGAAAAAATTGTAAAATTCTTTTGAGTCTTGTTAGGTTTACTGAGTACTTTAATAAACTTTCATTTGAAATTTTAAAAATAATAGTTTTTCATCCTAGTTCCTTCTATTCAATTTTTTCATCTCCATTATCATTATTTTTGTCAAAAATACATAATTTYAGGCTGAGTTTGGTGGTACCTGCTTGTAATCACAGTGATTTTAGTGGTTGAGGCAGGAAGATTGCAATTTTGAGGCTAGCCCCAGCAACTTAGCAAGATCTTGTCTGAAGATAAAAAATATAAAAAGGGCTGGGGATGTAGCTCAATGGTAGAGTGCTCTGGAGATAGAAGTGTATCTACACATATATACACACGTACACACACACACACACACACACACACACACACACACAAACTATGTATTCAAAAATCATTTGCAGATTAGGCCTTGTGTCATTGTTTTAAGGATTAAGCAAATTAATTTGGAGAAAACCTTTAAAGTGATTTGCAGATTAGGCCTGTGTCATTATTTTAAGGATTAAGCAAATTAATATGGAGAAAACTTTTAGAAAAGTCCTAGCATATTGAAGCACTCAATAAATGCTAAGTATTATAGAAATAGTAGTAATAGTTATTGTCATTTGCTTATATTTATTAACATAACTTGATTGCCAATTGCACCTGCCTTTTTCAACCCTCAGATTATATTCGAACATTTACGTGGGACAAAAAGCTTGAGATGGTGGTGAAATCAACGGGAATTTTAGGAGGACAAGGTAAGTAAAATTTTTGTTCTGTTTGTTCTTTAAATTCTCATATATTTCTTATTATTTAAAATTTAAGAGCTATTAAAATTGTAAAAAATGTAGAGTTATCTCTGATTTCATTTCCAGAATGGCCAGATATTAAGGGGAATTGTGTAGGTAGGAAATGTTGGGTTTAAATTTGTGTTAAATTTGTGTTAAAATAAGAGTTAAAAAGGAAGAAAAAGCTAGAGTTCTGAATAAGAGATTGTCTCTACTAAACATTTGATATTTTCTAAGTTCTTTGAGCACTGCTAGCCTCATTTGTGCCTCTAGCCATCTCTCATCTCTAAGAAAGAATTTATCTTTTAGAATGAAAGCTTCCACCAGGAAGAACCCTGTCACATGGCAGGTGGCACAGTGGCTAACCCTACCTCCTCACTTAGACTGCTCTGCTTTATGTGTCTTTATGGAAGTTTATACGAAACAACATAATTGGTTGAAATCTGATACCCAATCAAATATATATATATCAGCTTTTTTCCCCCCCTTTTCTCTTTCATAATTTTAGGTAAAATGCCAACTGTGGTCTCTCCAGAGTTGTATAGGACTAGATTTTGTGAAGCAATGGACAAATATTTCCTGATGGTGCCAGACCACTGGACAGGATTGGACCTGAACTGTTGAAATCAAGCACATTTCTTGAAGTAGACTGTGAAAGAAAACAGTCAGGAACAAGAGACCAAAAATAAGTGACATGTTTTATTTCTTCATCCCATTCACCTGTGTCCAGAAGTCCTTTTAGTTCTTTGGCTCTTTAGATCGTCCATGTCTGAAGGGTAAAAATTTCTTTGGATTTGCACTTTGGATTTTGATACCTGTGAATTAGTAGTCTGGAAGTTGCATGAACATTTCCTCGTTTAAGCTGAAATACAGATCATTTCAAAGAGCTAAGATTAGAGATGAGTCAAAGGTGTGAGAAACTGAGTTGTATTTGTTAACTTAATTGGAGAAGAAAAACCCTATCTTATAGATTGTGACTATCTTGGCCTTACAGTTGACACATTCTTTCCTTAAAAGGCATTTGTASTACTGCTGAATTTAATGTTACCTATTGTCAGGATTTCTGAAAACTTTAAGAAAAATTTTGATTTATTYCTCTAGTGGCCAGGTAAGCAGGTTTGCATTTATTGAAGAATTTAACTTAAATCACAAATCCTGTCTGAATTTTCTGTGTCTTCTCAATTTACCTTGTTTTCAAGTGTTCAGTTTTATAATTCTGCCTTCTCTATTGGTGACAAGAGGATGCAGCCATTAACTTAAAGTCCTTTTTAGAGTACTTCTTAAGCTTGTTTAAAACTTTCGACTAATCATTATGTTAAACTCCACTCATCTTTGTATGTTCATATTTTAGGTCTTGCCACCCCCCCTTATTTTAGGGAAATAGTCATCATTAGTAAATTGGTCTGGAATAATTGAATTTCTAAAGGAAGAATTATTAACACAGGAATTTTATGAGTATAAAAAATAAATTAGATCCAATCCAAGAAATTGGGTGAGAAGGAAACACTTGGTTGCTTTATATAGGGGTGAAGTATCTTTCAGTATAACCAGCAAGTTCAATGGCATTTATTTCCAGGACATTCCCATTTTCCAGTTTTCTACACACTGACTAGTTCTGCTCCTGAGACATACTAAGAGATAAAGTTATCATACTAAGGAGCTTCTTTTTTAATGGCCAGTAATTTTGTTTGTTTTAAAAAGTGATTCGGAGTATTCAACTTTGAGGAAATTCTGATCCCAGAATGTTTCTTTTTTTGGCTTCTTTCTGTCATGAGAACAACATAGGGATTTGTAAAATTTTTAGAATTTCATTCTTTTTCAGACTTCCTATAATAATAGTACATTAATTTTCACATAAAAAAAAGCAAGATGCATTGGTAAGTACATGAATGGGAACATTTTGGAAAGCTTGCTTTAAAGAATGAAAGCATTGGTTTGTATTTGGTGCTCATTAAAAATATAGTTAATTTTGAACTAGAAGCAAGTTGGCCAAGGACTTGAGACTTATCTGATGCTAAGTTTCCTCTCCCACTTAAATATGTATATGTGCCTTTTGAAGTTACACAAAACACTGATGATTTTAGTTTTGATACAGAAGATTAGTAAAGGAGTTGTGTAGACATGGAAGATGTGTGGAAGATGATTAAATTTTTATGTGTCTAGGGAAAAGAGATTTTGTGTCTGATTTGAAATACCAGTACGGTTTTGTCTCTGTTTATTTTTCCTATCAGGACACATAGGGTTATTTATCCTGTCAATTTCCTGTAGAAGTGAAAGATGTCCCCTACTAACCATTCTTTTAGTTTCAATACTATGTACACAACTGGAACTCTCCATGAGAATAGCTCCTGACAATAATGTGGCATACTGATTTTTCTTTACCTTGCCCATGACTTTAAAAAACATTTTTTAAAGTACTCCTGCCTAATGGGTAATTCGGTGGTTAAACATTCTGAAGCAAGAGTTGCTGCTTTGTAAGGACACTTTGTCCTTATAAAATTAATGTCTGAGCTGTATTCATGAAGGGAAAATGCACAATTTAACTGTTTGGTTTGAGTGGTACAACTATGTGCCCGGTTCCTTCCTGTTCCTCTTTATGCCACTATTAGATATATAAGGTGTTTCAAATTACTATGCCGGTCAATTTCATCATTGAGTGACTATTTTCCTTTCTTGAATTCCCTTTCTATATTAATGCTGAAAAGTTAGAAATTAGGAAGAAATCTTAGTATTTCTTTCCTGAGAATACAGTATGAATCCTAAAAATAATTGATAGTAGCATGAGAAAACTATGTCAACATGTTGCTTTTTATAAAAATCTCATTTATAAATGTGAAGCTTTTTGATTCCATCAAARTATATTTGAAAAATAGAAAGGATTTACTTTTTTTCTTATCTCAGCCTAAGAAAAATAAGGGGAATAAGCTAAGTCCTTTTATAGTCTGTTGAATACCTTAAATTTATAGATAATCAAAATTTCCTACAGAATGTCTTATAATTTTTTTCTTGATTTAGTAGTGAGTGGTTTTCTAGCTTTGGCTTTTATTGAGTATTGTAAATAGTAGGGTCATATTGGCATCTTTTGTGATGGCTTTGTGGTCATCAGATCTTGACATTTTGCCTATTACCAGTGGACTTGAATGAAACTTCCAAGGAGAATATATCTTCCTAAAGAAAGTTGGCTCAGTTTAAAGAGTAAAAATCAGTGTGATCAATGAGCCTGGTGGAAAATCAGATCAGGCCATTCATTATCCTGCAAGTGTTAACACTGACTTATGCAGTATT